CTTTCCCTACACGACGCTCTTCCGATCCCCCCAAAACCCCAAAACCCCGTTTTGCTCATTAGCATTCAATTGAGGGAATTAATAAAATAATAGATAACATAATTTAGAGATGGCAGGTGCTACAATTTTACCAGTTCCCAAGGCAATTGATCTTGAGGCTCATCATTATCCAAGATTCTGGAAAAGAAACCTTATATTCTTATGGGGTGGTCTCGGATTATGGGCTTTCCAAATTTGCAGATATACACACCTCTGCAGAGTAAGTATTAATTATCTAAATCAATCGCTTTTCATTTCATGAGCTTAATTCTCATTAGTAATCAACAATGAAAGCAGGAGAGTATATGGATTGGGGAAGCCACCACGCTCCAAAGAGAGTTAGATACTGATCAACCTCTATTTGATGATAATATACCCTAAGAGAGAAATAAAATTGCTGGTCAAAGATCAAAAGCTATTCTTTTTTTTCTCTTAACTATTTAAACATAAGACATTAATATTCAATCATCTCATTTTCTAAAATTATAATTCTCTATTATAAAGAAACTAACTCGCTGATTTTAAACTTAATAAAATAATAAAATAAATAATGACTTCGGTGAATCGCTCTTACAGAGGTGAGTCAAATTAATTCTCCCAAGCTAATTATTGAATTAGACTCGGAACTTTACTTAAAGCAGAAAAATGAGTTTGTTCGCTTTAGAGATTACGACCACTATTCAAAGTTCAATGACACTCATTAATATTGGACTTCAAATCTACAAAATACCTATGAAAGTCTAGTCAATGATGCAAGGTAAAACATTATGACTTTAGTAATGATAAAATGTAATCTAAATAGGAGGAGTAATCAACTAGGAAGATTTCCAATGCTCAAGTAATATGAAAGAAGAAAATAAGCCATTGAGGAATCAAATAACGGAGATCTTGAGAGCATAAGGCTGAATCCAGAATAAAAGCTATCTCCAAGACTGAAATTAATTCAATAAATAAAATAAATGGGAGTCAAACAGTAAGAAAACTCTTCAATGTCCCCTACATGCACAGCTAGAATAAAGAATAGACAGTAAGAGAATTTTCAATTAAAGTTTTCAGGATCATCCGTGAACAACCTAGATAGGGGCTTTTCTATAGTCTGGTTTTAAGTTAATCCAAAAGACCAATCACCACTACAAGAGATGACATAGCCACAGCTAACACAAAGCACATTTCAATGCGATCAAGTGGAGTAAGGTATGATTAAAAATTGGAATCGATTAAGGATACCTCTCAATTACAGTTTGACAGCTAGAGAGTATCTAAGACTCGTGAGGGAACATTTCTGGGTAATGAATCACAGTTCTCTCCAAACAAGTCTCTCTATATTGCTCAGAGACCATTTCTTAGAACAAGCCCAAGACCCGTAGAAATAGTTGTGACTGACTAAAGAAGACTTATAAATAATAAGAATGAATACGGTAGCTTTGTTACGAACCAAAACGAATAATATAAAGTCAAGGTATTTGAGAATTTCAAGCTGATGAACTCTAAGATGAATAAGGCGTTCTTGCGTCAAGCTGAGAATAAAAAGTTCTTCAAAGGGAATAACGCAGTTCCTGAAGAGTAAATCAAGATCAAGGAAGAGGATGATAGAACAATTGATAAGATCAGCAACATTTTTAAATACGTTCACAAACATCAAAAGGCCTTTTCAATAGACGGAGCTAATAATCATAAATTTGACCTTAATAGAATTGAATTACCTTTTGAATGAAAAGACTTTAATTGGCTCATTAAGATATTTAAAAAATATTTAAATCATTAAGTTTGCTTTACTCATTTTAAGCCTATGTATTTCGAAAGGGGTTTTGGGGTTTTGGGGTTTTGGGGTTTTGGGG